CTCTGCTTCCTGAGTGCCATCATGCCCAACTTGGGTCGTTTCTTTTTGGAACTTACTATTTTATGTGAATGAGTGTTTGGCCTGTGTGTGTGTCTGTGCACAGTCCCCTTGGAGGCCAAAAGAGGGAGGGCATCCGATCCTCTGAAACTGGAGTTTCAGATTGTTGTGAGCCACTATCTAGGTGCTCGGAATCAACCCAGGTCCTCTGAAAGAACAGCCACTGCTCTTCATTTTTCAGCTCAGCCCTGGCCTTGATTTATATTACAAAAAGTAATTTCAGGACTAGTTAGTATGAAAGAGCTGGAGTTTAGTAAGCAATTATTTTAGGGACTGGAAAGATGGCCCAGTGGTTGAGTGCTGGCTGCTTTTTCAGGGAACCAGAGTTTGGTCTCTAGGACCCAAGTAAGGTGGCTCCTAAAAGCCTGTAACTCCAGCTCCAGGGGATCTGATGCCCTCTTCTGGCCTCAGTGAGTAGCCACATGAATATACACGAACACTCTCATACACAAATAAATCTAAAACCAAAAACAGTAGAGAGAAGGGCTGTAACCCCAGTGCTGGTGAGGTGGAGACCAGGGAATCCCTGGGACTCTGCCAGTCAGCCCACCCTAATCTGCAAGCCCTGAGTCCCAGTGAGAGACCTTGTCAGAAAAAAAAAACAAAACTCAAGGTTTGGGATTCCCCCTTGGAACTCCCCCCAACACCTGGGGGTTTTCCTCGATTTTATGTATATGAAAATTTTGCCTGCATATACACATACGTGTGTACCATGTGTGTACCTGGTGCCCAAGGATGTCAGAAGAGGGCTATAGGACCTCCTAGGATGGGAGTTTGGATGGTTGTGAGTTACCCTATGGGTGATGGGAATTGAACCCGGGTCCCCTGAAAGAACAGCCAGTGCTCTTAACGGCTGCACCATCTCTCCAGCCCATTATTACTTTTGAAACAAGGTTTCTTTACATAGCCCTGGCTTCCAATTCACAGAGATCTGCCTGCCTCTGCCTCCCAAAAGGTGGGATTAATGGTGTGTGCCACTATGGCCTAGCCATATTCTGGTTTTTGTTTTGCTGAGGTTTTTTTTTTTTTTTTTTTTTTTTTTTTTTTTTTTTGAGTTTTTGAGACAAAGTCTTAGTTTTTAAGTGACTTCAGAATACCCTACCTCAGTCTCCCCAGGGCTACGTACCATCATTTTCAGTATGGAGTCATACCTGTCTGTGGGTTGCTCTAAAAAAGGGATTTTTTCTTTTTCTTCCTTCCTTCCTTCCTTCCTTCCTTCCTTCCTTCCTTCCTTCCTTCCTTCCTTTCTTTCTTCCTTCCTTCCTTCCTTCCTTTTTTTTAATTTATGTGCATTGGTGTCTTGCCTGTATGTATATCTGTATGAGGGTGTTGGGTACCATGGAACTGGAGTTACAGACAGTTGTGAGCTGCCATGTGGGTGCTGAGAATCAAACTCGGGACTTCTGGAAGAACAGCCAGTGCTCTCAACTGCTGAGCTATGTCTCCAGCCCTCTTTTTTTTTTTTTTTTTTATTATTAAACTTCCTTTTTATTTATTCTTTACGTTTTTCACATCATGCACTTCGATCCCATTCATTTCCTGTCCTGTTGTACCCACTCTCTGCCCTTGCAACTTCTCCTTCTTTCCCTTTCTTTTTCTAGGCAGTATCTCATGCATGGCTTAGCATTGCCTGAACCTACCTCTGAGTGAAGCATTACTCTAATTAATCTTTAACAATAAAAAATCAAGAGTCAAATATTGGGGTAAGAACCTGAAAGATCAGAGAAGCAGGGAGCAGCTGCCAGTCGCTTCCTACGTCTACTGTTTCTCCATCCAAAAGGGCCAAGGTCCTCTCTTAGCTTCACCTCACCACCTCCTGTCTCCTCTCTCCAGTCTTCCAAACCTTATGGTCAGTTAATGACTAGTTCCACCGTCTGACTCCAAGCAAGCTTTACTTGTCAGAATGCAATCAAAGTATCACACATTTCCCCCTTCTTGTCTAAATAAAAAGCAAAGGTTTTAAATAACATAGTAAAACTATATACAATAAGTACAATAACTATATACAAATATATTCAGGCAAGAATCACATTAACAATGCGTAGCCCATTTGCATTTAGCAAATTCAGAGAAAATACTCCATTAGCTATCCTATCTTGGTGGGTCCAAAGTGTTATACTTTAATATACTTAATTCACTTTCTATCCTAACTTGTATGACCAACCCAAAGCTATCTTTTCATGTCTCTCAGCCCTGTACACTTTACAGCTCTTTTGTGAGTTTCTTTTCTGAATTTGGTAATAAGGAAAACTTTATCTAGTCTTCAACTCCATCAGAGACCTGAGAAAGATATAATATTACCTGAGTAAACAGGAAGTGCAGAGCAAACAACTTCCAAAACTAAGAAATGACAGAAACAACTGGCTGCCTGGACAGTCACCCAAGGTTCCTCTGTAACACTGGGGCATCCATCTTCAGCCTACAGGTCTAGAAAATCTGAAGACATTTCTGTGAAGTAGGATTTTTGAATGGCTGTCCTTCCTTGTCTTGGCAAAGTTCTGAAGTCCTTTGTTTTGTGTCCTGCTCGTCCAATTTGGAAAGAATACTGTCAGCAGTTGAGGCAAGGGCACCTTCTTGCCCAGCGGCTAACTTTTGCCACAAAGAATTTAAACTCCATATGGAGTTTCTTTGATGCCCATCATCTTCTCTGAAGAGGCGCAAAGCTACGCAGAGAAACCCTTTCTCAAAAGAACCAAAAAAAAAAAAAAAAAAAAGAAACTTATGTTATTAAAAAATCTTAAATGCCATATTTTATAGATCTCTGAAGTGTTTGAAGACCATCTGTCTATCTAAAACATATCTATTTGACTTTGAAAACATACCTAACATGATTACAAGTCCGAATATAATAGGTAACTAACTACTAACCTGCATTTATTATCCCAAATAGTCTGTAATAATAGCTTTCAAGGACAAGAAATTTACATTATATTGTTAAATGAGCTGTATAGCTACAATATCTTAAACAAGAGTAGAAATGTATGTAGTATATGTTCTAAGAAAAATAACCTTAAATTTGTATCAATATACAAAAATATCTTAAACAAGAGTAGAAACATATATACAGCATAGCAAAAATAACGTCAAATTTGTATCAATATACAAAAATCCATACTAATGTAAAATATTTAAGACTAGTAGTTGCTTATTTGGTTAAAAGTAGATTCAATAATCTACACTTTATCCTATAATTTCTATATCTCCCTTTTTTCTTTTCAGAACAAGATCTGTGAATCTAATCGCCTTTGTTCCTGACTATTATCAATAAGAACTTGTAACCAACTCTCCCTAAACGATAAAAATTATCCATAACCCACTGAACAACCAAAAATTGCCCATCCAACCTCTTGGGAATGTGGGTGTCATGTTGTTAAAATTACTTCCTGATGTCTAGGGGCAATAGCATCTTTAGGGGACTCTGAAAAAAAATTGGATAATTGTCATGTCCTGAGAAAGCTAGCTGCATCATTTGTTATCCAGACTCTGTGAAATGGGAAAGTGCAGGGCTTATCTCAAGTCCTGGCTAGAGTAGTCTGTGAGGCTGGACCATTGAAATTATCTTGAGCAGTTTGTAGTCCAAAGCCGATCTTTGGGTGGTGTTTGTCAGCTTAGTGGCATTACCACAACCAAGGTGGAATTGTCATTGTCATGGTTTACTACAGAAAACTTAAACATTTTAAATGTCATATGTAGCATATCCCAAAGAGGTTAAAGGACTATAATTTTTTATGTACATACAGATTACAAAAACTTAGTTCCTAGCTACCTGATAGAGACTCAAACCCGAAATCATGTACAGGAAGCTAGATGAAGCTTTTTTCTCTCTCTCTTTCTTTCTCTCTTTCTCTCTCTCTCTCTCTCTCTCTCTCTCTCTCTCTCTCTCTCTCTCTTTCTTTCTTTTTCTTTGTTTTCTTTTGTTTTTTTTTCCAGACTGGATTTCTCTGTGTAGCTTTGGAGCCTATCCTAGAACTCACTCTGTAGACCACACTAGCCTTGAACTCACAGAGATCCACCTGCCTCTGCCTCCCAAGTGCTGGGATTAAAGGCATGAGCCACCACCACTGGCCTTAATGAAGCCTTTTTCTATAATTAGTACTCTGTATGACCATTAATATCATTACAAAAAGATTAGTATATATATATATATATTAATTTTATAAATTTTGAGATAATTATACCTTAAGAAAGGCTTTAAAGAATCAAAATAAGCTGGGCGGTGGTGGCACATGCCTTTAATCCCAGCACTCGGGAGGCAAAGGCAGGCAGATCTCTGTGAGTTTGAGGCCAGCCTGGTCTACAGAACATGATAAAGCTACATCGATCAGAAACCCTATCTTGAAAAATAATAATAATAATCAAAATAAAACCAAAAATTATGAGATTAGTGGCAAAGGAATGGTCTCTTAATTTTGGTTTTTCTTCTGCCCCATATCAGATGGCTCTACTGACATGAGACAGAGATTTTGCATTTTCTTTTAACAACATGCTTGGGTTTAGAGAAGGAGAGAGCCATGTTTAATTTTTAATTGAACTGGGACTACAAAAAGACCATTTGCCTTATATGTCTGTAGAGAACAGCAGAAACAAACATTTGGGAAGACTTATGAAATTTTATCCTGTTGGAAATGTGATATACCATTAGGACAATTTACTTTTTGGGGGACATTTTCTCTGGATGATTCGTCCTTTTTCTTCAGCTGTCTCAATTGTTCAAACGCCTTCAGATTTCTTAGCTAGATGCCCTCATTCTCCTGGAAAGACAAACACAAAACTCTGCCCCAACCCTAACTTTGGGTAATTTCCTTTTTGGCAGGTTATATCTGATCAAATGAAAAACACTTGCTAGTCTTATAAGTTGGCCAGGCGGTGATGGCTCATGCCATTAATCCCAGCACTTGGGAGGCAGAGGCAGGAGGATCTATAAGAGTTTGAATCTAGCCTGGTCTACAGAGTGAGTTCCAGGACAGGCTCCAAAGATACACAGAGAATCCCTATCTTGAAAGAACACAAAACAAAAAACCCAAGTTGTCTCACCAAATCTGCTGCTGACAGTGAAGTGTGAGGCTGGTTGTTCCTGCCTAGCATGTCTGGATGAAGAACACAGGCTGTGCACAGCCTGGCTGAGGACAGCTGCCTGAGGAGTGGATCCAGGGGAAGCCCACAGCCCACGAGGAAAAGGAACCAAAGAGCCAGCCATCTGAAAGGCAGACACAGGGGAATGTGTGAAAGTAGCACCCATTGACAGGTGGAAGTGAGAACACAGAGCTGCCTTAAGGCAGAACTGACCTGTGCTGAGGGACTAACTCCCCGCTGCCATTTGGAGTCCAGGTGCCTGTGCCATTTGGGGCTTGTGGAGATTTCTGTAAAGAGGCTGCAACCGGAAAATCCCAGATTCATTCAGAGGGCTTGGGGGAAAAAAGGAAAAGCCAGTGGCAGAGTGACTCCAGCATGTGACACTCTTGTGTGGCCCTCTAGCAGGTGCCGGTGGCTGCAAAGTCATAGGCAAGCGGCTATTTCGTGAATTTATGCCCCAAAGTTGGGTGCCAGATGAAGCATTAATCTAATTAATCTTTAACAATAAACAAATGGGGAGTCAATATCAGGGTAAGAACCTGAAAGATCAGAGAAGCAGGGAGCAGCCGTCAGACACTTCCTACCTCTACTATTCATCCACCCAAATGGGCCGAGATCCCCTATCTATCCCGCCTTACCACTTCCTGTCTCCTCTCTGGACAGTCCTCCAAATGTCTATGATCAGCTAGTGGCCAGCCCCACCTCTGACTCCCAGCCAGCCTTGTCGGAACACAAACGAAATATCACACAGCATCTGAGTGCTTGAATGACAAGTATGCGACACCATATATCCACTGGTGTTTGCATTGCTGGAGACCAAACCCAGGGCTTTGTGTATGCTAGGCCGGTATTCTGCCAACTCCACCATAGCCCTACCTCCCCAAATAATCTAAACAGTCCCATCCCCTCCTCAAGCCTTCAGCAGCCTCCCTGTAGGGAAAAGGGGCTGGCTAATGAAACGCACCCTTACACTCCCATTTCTCTTTGACCCCGAATGCTTACCTAGTTGATAGGACATGGCTTGGCTCCAGCCTACTTTTTTGTTTGTGTTTCTCTGTGTAGTCTTGGCTGTCCTGGGACTCACTCTGTAGACCAAGAACTCAGATCTGCCAGCCTCTGCCTCCAGAATGCTGGGATCAAAGGTGGACACCACCACTGCCCAGTCCCTTGCCTACGTTTTTAGCTTCATCTTGAGCTAACCTCCCTGCTCTCCAGTTTCTTCCTGTGTTCTTATGCTGTCCTCACACATCCACCTGGTACTACCGACTGATCCTAGGGCCTGTGTAGTCAAGCACAGCACCATTGGGCTACATCCCCAAACGACATTTTTCCTTTTGTCTTTTTGGTTTTTTGTTTGTTTGTTTGTTTTGTTTTTGCATGTATGTGGATGCTAGAGACGGACATTGAGTGTCTTCCTCAATCATCATTCTCCACCGTATATTTTTTTGTCGGGCGGTAGTGGTGCACGCCTTTAATCCCAGCACTTGGGAGGCAGAGGCAGGTGGATCTTTGTGAGTTTGAGGCCAGCCTGATCTACAGAGAGAGATCCAGGAAAGGCGCAAAGCTACACAGAGAAACCCTGTTTCGAAAAATTAAAAAAAAAAAAAAAAAGTTTTTTTTTTAAAGTGTATTAACTTTGGTTTGAATGGTTTATTATTTTTATGTGAATTGTTATTTTGCCTGCATGTATGTTTATGTGAGTGTTGGATTCCACTGGAGGTGGAGTTACAGACAGGTGTGAGTCTTCATGTGGTTGCTGGGAATTGAACCCAGGACCTCTGGAAGAAAAGCCAGTGCTCTTAGCCTTTTGCCTGAATGCATATAAGTGGAACTGGTATTACAGACAGTTTGTATGGGGCCATGTGGGTGTTGGGAACGAAATGTGGACCCTTTAGAACAGTAGCCAGTGCTCTTAACCTCTGGGCCCTCTCTCTAGTCCACCATTTTATGTATTGAGGCAGGGTCTTTCTTGAACTCAGAGCTTGCCCATTGTGGTAGTCTAGCTTGCTAGCTTGCCCTGGGGAGGGCATCTCTGCCTCCCTAACACAGGCGTTAGAGGCAGGCTGCATGCCCACCCACCACTGTACGTGGGTGCTGGGATCTCAGCTCCAGTCCCCAGGCTTGCACAGCGAGAACCTTGCCAGATGAGCCGTCTCCCCAGTCTGACATTTCCTCTTACAAATATCTATAACGCATAGTCTATAACTTCAGATAATGTATTTTAGTCTGGGATTTCATGTTTGTTATCATGATTATCGTGTACTTATTACACGTGTATTATCGTTGTCTCCCAGTCTCCCTGCTACACTGTGACCTGGAGGCAGAAACTTGGTTTTCATCCTTTATTACTGACACTCGACAGCACCAGACATTATGCCAGGCACACTAAGTGTTAACTAAATAACCTTGGGGTAAACACAGACCATGCGCTCAGGAGTAAGAATTTGGGGAGGTCTTGTATTACTCCCTCAAGTGGTGTGTTGGCTTACGGCAGGTTTGACAGGATTCTTTTTGTTTGTGGTTGTTTGTTTGTTTTTGTTTAAGACAGGGTTTCTCTGTGTAGCCCAGTTGTCCTGAAACTTGCTGTGTAGACCAGGCTGGCCTTGAACTCACTGAGATCCACCTGCCTCTGCCTCCCAAGTGCTGGGATTAAAGGTGTGCGCCACCATACCTGGAGTGGGCTTTTTTTGTTTTTTTGTTTTTTTTTTTTTTTTTTTTTTTTTTGGTGTAGAGGAAAAATTAGTAGAATCATTGTATCTAGGGTAAATATTAGAACGAAATAGTTATTTTTCACTGTATCTATGGCAAACTCAGAGTGAATGGTTGTTTTCTAGAAGTACTTAGACCTTGAAGAAATCACTGTGGAGAACAGTGATTGTTTTCTGTTATCTACAGATTTGTTTTTTGGAAGGAGCTTTACAGCCTTTGTAAGACTTTGGTCACAAGACTATCCTGGCACACCTGGAGCGTCTTGAATTATTGTGTACTAAATAGTTCACAATAAGGACTCAAGTTGCAGAGGTGTGAAGTTTTCCTTAAGAAAACATATAGATTAGACCAGGGGCTTTGGTATGAGGGACTTGTTTTACCCAAAACACAACTTTTGTGTAATAATCAATAAATACGCCTTTGCACAGATGTTTGAGGTTCACAGAAACTGTTCATCTCCGCTGCCAGAGAGCCTAAAATTCATCTTGGAGTGATCCTTTTTCTTTGATTTTCCCACGAAACACAGTACACCCGACAGTTTGGTTTTGTTTTTGAGACAGAATCTTAAGTATGTGAACCTGACAGTCCTGGAATTGCCTATGTAGACCAGGCGCTGGCCTCGCACTCACAGAGATCGCCTTCTCTGCCTGAGTGCTGGGATTAAAGGCGTGCGCCACCACGCCGGGTTTAAAAACAGGTTTGTGACCAATGGAAGCTCAACAGTACGTGGCTCACAATCGTGTAATCGGACGCTGATGAATTTCCTCCTCTAAGTCGTCTTTCTTCAGGAAGTCGCTTCCTTCCAGCCCGAGCTCTCTGGAAACAAGTCTGCAAAAAAATTTAGGCAATCAGTGCCCCAGCCCACAGCGCCCCGACCGCGCCTTTGTCCAATAGCTCAGGAGCCCCGGATCGCTAGGTACCTCCTCTTCCGCCTACGCTACCTGGCGGCGACCGGAAACAAGCGGGCGCCCCGGAAGTTGAAGGGCGTATCCTGCTAGCTTGGCTTCCTCAACATGGCGGCCCCCTTGTGTGTGGAGGTGGAGTTTGGGTGAGTGAGAACTGGGGCGCCGTGGGGATGGAGCGAAGCTATAGCGCCTGAATCTCGGACCTGCCGAGGCTACTGAGGCCCTCAGGGAGCCGGGCCACTCGCCTGGCCTCTGACAGGCGCGGTCTCCCTGGCGACGAGGCCGTAAGTCGGAGACTAGAGATGCGCTGACAGTCCCTCCTTGGTCTGTAGCGGGCGGGACTCGCAGGTCATCTCCCAGGTGTTTTACCAGTGTCATTCCGAGCCCGACCCACCGTGTCTGGCCTTTGGGCTCCTAAGGGGAGCACCAAGTCTCCCTGTTGAGTAGTCCTTAAGTTCTTGTTTTCGGGGGCAATCCCCGCCTAGTTTCTTCTTGGATGAAAGTGTGGCTAAGATAGCACTCCTTTCTTTCTCTTTCTCAAACCTACGCGTTTTAATCAGGCTCGAGTCTCTTTCAAAGTAGTTTGATGAGTGCCTTCTGCATCTCTCGAGCCCAGATACCAACCTCGGAGGGAGCGACCAACATTGACAGTATTGTGTGCACAAGATGAAAAGTTCCAGAATTGGCATACGTATCCATTACTTGAAGGAACACAGGGAAAATTGAAAATCTTCTCAAATCCTTACTTTGTTCTTCCAGCACACAGAAGGTCTGTCATGGCCTCAAAATCTGCAGAAGACAGACTTGGGAGATGAGAACAGACAAAGAACTGAGGCCTCTAGAGATGTGTGGTTGTTTCTTGAATAATGGAACAGCTAGTTGTGTGTGTGTGTGTGTGTGTGTGTGTGTGTGTGTGTGTGTGTGTGAACAAGCTAAGGTCGAAGTGAAGATAAACATTAGGGTAGAAATGTAAAATTATTTCCAAATGCCTATCTTCCCATTGGATGCCCCCGTTCCTTTTATGGTTTCCCTTCACTGGGTAGTTCATTCACCAGTCATTTATTGAGTGCCTACCATGTGCCAGGCAGTGAGCCAGACACCGAGGATACAAAGATAAATAGCACTCTGTCTATTCCCTACAGTGTTCAGCATTTCTGTCTCTTGGAAGGGGGTAGTCTCATGAATGTTAAGTGCAGTTTAATTGATGATATTGTCTGGCTGCTTGGATCCAACTAGAACTATATTGGTCTGGCCTCCTGACTGTTCTGCCTCTCTGACCCTTAGCCCAGCTAACACCCTACCTTCCCACCTCCCAGCCTGGGGATAAGAGAAAGCTTCCTGATGCCTTTACCAGCCTTAGCAGAACTGAAAAGGAAGAAGCTACAGGCTCTCGGCTTAGTGTTTATCCGTAGCTAACTTGCCTTTCATTCTCAGTGAGTCAGACATGGTGTTTATTCATCAGAGATGTATTCTGTCTGCCAGATACTGTGCTGGCAACAGTGAGGAAGTCATAAGGTGAATAAGACCCTTACCCTCCAGAGTTAGCAGATCTACACAGTTGCTCTCTTTCTAGCTTCAGCTTTCCTCGCCGCTAAGAGCAATATTGAACTCCAGCAAGACAGGACAACATTCTTTACCCACCTGTCCGTCCCCTTCCACGCCTCCCAAATAAGTGACCTATCAGAATTGTAGCGTCACGGGGCTTGGTGGTTCATGCCTATCATCCCAACACTTGGAAGGCAGGTGCAGTTGGATCTCTAATTTTGAGGCCAGGCTGGACTGTACAGCAAGAGACCCTCCATAAAAATGTAAAAATAAAATAAATTAATAAATATGCTTGCCAAATCCAGAAGCCTTCCATCTATCCTCCCAATTTGGTTTTGTTTGGAGACAAGAGCTTATGATACAGCTCGGGTTGACCTCAGACTTTCTATGTACCTGAGGCTGGCTTTGATCATCCTGGTTCCTGAGTGCTGAGATTACAGGGATATATCACCCTGCCTATCATATGTTTTTGACCTCTGACCTTTGATTAACTGTGTAACCTGACAGATATGCTCCACCTTTTATTATGAATCTGAGAAGATTTTGAAAGGAGCCACAGTGCCTATTATTCTCTCCTCATTGGTCCTAGAAGTCTAGAAACTGTTGCCTCTAAACCTTGAATAGATATGATCCTCTTGGTGCCACCAGCTCTGTTAGGTCCTTTAGAAGGCTTCCTGTCTTTTTGGGGGGTGAGTTGTTTTCAAGATGGTTTTTTTCTGTGTAACAGCCCTGGCTGTCCTGGAACTCACTCTGTAGACCAGACTGCCCTTGAACTTACAGAGATCCGCCTCCTGAATGCTGGGACTAAAGGTATACACCACCATACCTGGCTCACCTCTTTCTTGTTAGGACCAATTCTATCATCTTTTGGCATGCCTCCTGAACTGTGGTTAATAGAGGTGGGTTTTTTGTTTGTTTTGTTTTTTGAGATTTGGTATCCAAGATGGCCTATATCTCAACTCAGTAGGTAGTGGAGGAAGTCCTAGAACTTCTGATCCTTCTGCCTCCGTCTTCCCCGTGCTGTGATTACAGGCATGTGCCGTCATGCTCAGTTTATGCAGTGCTGGAGATGGAATCCAAGGCTTCCTGCATGCAGTGCAGGCACTCTACCAACTGAGCTATACTTCAGCCCTAGCAGAGCATCTTTAGGACACAGAATTGCACAGTAGTACAGGTGTGTTTGGGCACCTCCTTTCCAGCCTGTAATGACCTAGATTTGATTCCCTTTCATGAGTTTGGGAAGGTGTTGGAAAAGCTGGATATACTGTTGAGATCCATTAACATGGCAAATATTTTTTAAATGTCTGTTGTATGCCAGGCCTTATTTCATTTAGAACCTGTGCCTGTTCTATAAAGTAGACGGAGACTAGACATGAATGGGTAGGTTTTTTGTTGTTGGTGGTGGTTGATTGGTCATTGAAGCAGGGTCTCATGTAACACAGGCTGTAAACTCGGTATGTAGCTGAAGATGACTTTGAATTTTTGTTCCTCCTGCTTCTACACCCCAAGTGCTAGAATTATAGGCATGTGATACCATGCCTAGCTTTTAGATAGGTGTATTTTAAAGCAACTAGAAAAAAATGACTGAAATGTAGACCTGTCACTGATATTAGCAGACACATGCACTAGGAATTGGGGTATTGAGAGAAGATGGAGGTATCCTAGTTAAGATTGAATGGCAGGCAAATCCTATAAAACAGAAGAGGATCTGGCTTTAGGTCTGTGGGGCCCAAATAGCCCCCATATCTGCCTCCCTAAATCAGTCCTGAGATTAAATGTGCACCTTCGCTCACTCCAGACATGCTGACAGAAGTACTACCCTCCCTCCCCTGGGCCTAGCCAACCCAGCAGTGATGGGTCACTCAAAGCCTCATTGGTTCGCTCTGTTTGTAAGAGGAAAAACAGGCTTGGCCTTGGAGCCTGGCACTACCAGCTTTGGCCACTCTTGATTATTTGCCTCCAGTTCCCACCCCACTTCTCTGACCCTCTAGTCCTGAACCCCCTGCCTATCACCCTCCCCCAGCCCAGCTGCTGCATGTGCCAACCCCTACCCAGCAGAAACTGAGGCTCTTGGAAGGGGATAAATGGAGGTTCTGTGTGGGCTTGCAGCTGAAACGGCCCTGTGGACAGCCACAGATGGGCCTTTGCTCCCCCTCCACATTTCTGCATCAACAAAGCGTGACCTTGTTTAGATGACAGTCCCCCATGTTTCCCCCATGACAATGTTTGCCTTGCCTTTGCCTCCTAGTGGGCTGCCTCAGGACATCTCTGTTCCCCGAGATTGGGAAAGGGTGGTGGGGTGGGAAACATCACATCCATCAAAAGTCTGTTAGGGCCTTCTCCGTTCAGATGCACGTGAAGTCTGAGATGGGAGCTGGGAAACCAGAAGATGAAATAGCGCGGGGCACTTAAGGCCCTACCGTCCAAACCAAAGTCCTGCTTTCTGGACGTGGCTTTGAGCATCTCTGCTGCCTTGACCATCCCTTGGCCAGGTGCTTTCTGACAGAGCTCTGGGGTTACTTAACTTAGGGCTGCAGTCCACTATGTCAGTTGGAATTAATGTCTGCCTCCTCCCTCCTTTGCTGGGATGCCAAGTGATGAGGAACAGCCTGTAAGTGACAAGGTGATGTGAACAGCTGGGCTTAGTCAGTGCTAAGCCCAGTGGGCTCTCTCTGCCTCTGTGTTGTGTGTGTGCACAGTCGTGCATAGAAGTGAGCAGAAACAGGGTTATTTCCACCCTTACCTGGCCAGAAATGCACAGGGTCTCCAGGGCACTCCAGAAGGGCGGGCAGCTCGGCAACTTTGGAAATAAGATCAAGGCTTGAAAAGGTGTGTACATGGCCAAGGGCTGATGGCAGCAGAGGCAGAGCCTGGTTTCCTTCTTGGGGCTGGCAGCTCTGAAGCCCGTGTTCTACTGCTGTGGACTGAACTACCGCTCAAGAAAGCAAAGGAGGCTGCAGGCTTGGGTCCTCCACTGAGTGTGAAAATGGTTTCCATCCTCTTTTCCGAGGCAGAAAGTCAGTTTGAGAGGCAGTCACTAGTCACTGAACTCTGGTCTCTGTATCTCATCTCTCACCACAGCCCTGTCCCCCAGTAATCAGACTCCTCTCAGTCCTGTTAGCAGTAACTTACTCAGCGGTCTTTCTCTGGCCTTCCTTTGCAGAGGTGGTGCGGAGCTCCTGTTTGATGGAGTCAAAAAACATCAAGTTACCTTGCCTGAGCAAGAGGGACCTTGTGAGTATTGGATTTCCTGGCTGCTCTTTGGGGCCACTGGGCACGAATGGGTCTGTGGTTCAAGTAGAAACAGTTAGGATTGTCCTGGCCAGTAACAAAGCAAGAAGCTGCTGCAAAGTATGTTTTCCTCTCCTTGCTGGGGTTGGCCAGCTCTGCAAGAAGGAGTGAGAAATTGACCTTCATATGGGGAATGGCTGGATCAGTGGCTCATCTCTTAGGAGCACTGGATGCTCTTGCAGAGAGCCCAGGTTTAGTTCCCAGCACCTACACATCTGTAACTCCAGTCTCAGGGGATTCAGGATCTTCTTTTGATCTCTGTGGGCACATATGCAGGCAAAACACACTCATATAAACCAGATGTGGTAGTGTTCACCATAAATTCCAGCATTTGGGGAAGCAAAGGCAGGAAGGCCAGGTAGATCTCTGAGTTCGAGGCTAACCTGTTCCACATCGAGAGATCCAGGCTAGGCAGGACTATACAGTGAGGCATTATCCGTTTTTTTTTTTTTTTTTTTTTTTTTTGCGGGAGTGGGGGGTGGGGTGGGTGGTTGGGTAGGTCGGGGGGTTTCTTTGTATAGCTCTGGATGCCCTGGAATTCACTCTATAGACAATGCTGGCCTCGAACTCACAGGGATCCACCTACCTCTGCCTCTCAAGTGCTGGAATTAAAGGTGAGCACCACCACTGCCCAGCTTGAGACCTTGTCTTTTTAAGACAGGGTTTCTCTGTGTAGCTTTGGAGCCTGTCCTGAAACTTACTCTGTAGACCAGGCTGGCCTCTAACTCACAGAGATTGCCTGGCTCTGCCTCTTGAGTGCTGGAATTAAAGGCATGCCCCACCACTGCCTGGCCATTGTTTTTTATTTGTTTGTTTGTTATTTTTGAGACAGGGTTTCTCTGTGTTGTTTTGGTGCCTGTCCTGCGTGTGGCACCATCGCCCAGCTGAAACCTTGTCTTAAAAAAACAGGCTGGGCGGTGGTGGCAGTGGCGCACCCCTTTAATCCCAGCACTTGGGAGGCAGAGCCAGGTGGATCTCTGTGAGTTTGAAGCCAGCCTGGTCTACAGAGTGAGATCCAGGACAGGCACCAAAACTACACGGAGAAACCCTGTCTCAAAAAAAACAAAAAAACAATGGGTTGGAGAGATGGCTGAGCAGTTAAGAACACTGACTACAGGGTGGGGATTTAGCTCAGAGGTAGAGCGCTTGCCTAGCCAGTGCAAGGCCCTGGGTTCGGTCCTCAGCCCTGAAATTTAAAAAAAAAAAAAAAAAAAAAAAGAACACTGACTGCTCTTCCAGAGGTCCTGAGTTCAATTCCCAGCAACCACATGGTGGCTCACAACCATCTGTAATGAGATCTGATGCTTTCTAGTATGACAGCATGCATGCAGACAGAACACTGTGTACAAAATAAATAAATCTTAAAAAATAAAAAAATAGAACAAAAACCCCCACTTGTATGAATAAAATAAATCTTTAAAAAACATGCTGGGCATGGTGGCACACACCTTTCATCCCATCACTCAGTGGCAGAAGGAGGAGGATCTCTGAATGTGAGGCCAACCTTATTTACCCAGCAGACTCCAGGACAGCACAAGAGAGACCTTGTCTCAAAAAAACAAACACAAAATTAAAAAGAGGGTTCAGCAAATAAAGATGCTTGCCACCAAGCCTGCTGGCTTAGTTCTGAGCTCCAGGACCCATGTGGCAGAAGGTTGTCCTCTGACCTCCACATGTATACAGTGGATACAACAACAAAAAAGGAGTTTATTAAAATACCAGTTTGGGCTGAAGATGGAGCTTAGCTGTCGATTTGTCCAGCATGCATAAAGTCCTTTGTTTCATCCCCAGCTCTGAACAAACCAGGCCTAAAACTGGGTGACCCTGTAATGTCAGCACTCAGGAGGTAGAGGAGGATGACCAGAAGTTCAAAGTTGGAGAGTTTGAAGCTGGCCCTGGGATGCATAAGAGACTGTATGCAAACTCAAATACCACAAGTTATGCTTTATTTCCTCATCCAGTTTGCTTGACACAAAACTATACACATTTTCACAATTCCATCCCTGTGTGACTCTCTGAATACTCAGCAAGTGTCTCTTGAGTAGTAATCATTTCTTCTTCTCAACCTTAGTAGTGACGTCTTCTTTGTTCTGGGTCCTGCCTGTGACTGACCCAAGAGGTAGCTGCCTGTTTCCACTGGTTGATTAGTTGCTTCATTCACTAATGGACGTAGGAGCTCTCTTTGTGTAGCCCAGGCTGTCCCTTTTCCTCTGTTGCACCATCACAGGCATGCCCCGCTCCTGCTCAAGTCAAGTTAAAAGGTAGCTGGCCAGGGAGGGCAGGAGCTGAGCAGCAGTTCCTGGGCGCTTTAAACTGCTTAGCATGCATTTCACAGCTCTCTGGGGCCAGCTGTTCCTTTCTCTGCTCTCCAGGCCTGTTTGCTGATCCCTTTCCTACCTCCCTCCTCTTCCCTCCCCTCCCCGTCCCTGTGCAAAATTGCTTTTGAAAAGATCCACTTTCTGCTTAATTAAACAATGAGGAGCGTCCCCTCACACATCTGTAAACCTCCTTCTGAGGCCAGTTTAGCCCACAAACTGCTCCATTCTTACCCCCATTCACTTGTAAATGGAGCCTCGGAGGTTCCCTCCACCCTCTTCTCTTTCATTCCTCCCATGCCAGCTCTTTCTTCTCCCTTTAGCTCAGGCCTGGGGTGGGAATCCCAGAAGAGTCCTGCCTCGGAGCCCGAGCTGGTAGACTCGATAGGGAAGGGGCAGTTTAACTTATGGACAGGATTTAGGCCCGGGTGGAGTGGGGAAACATGTGTTGGCATGGCCCTGTGCTTCACAGCCCAGGGGACAGGAATAGCATAAGACACCCTTGTGCATGGGAGAAAGCGCTTCAGACGGAGCAGCCCTGTCTCCCGTGTGTTCACAGAGGCGGAATGAGGCCCTGCGGCAGCCAGGGCTATTTCTCTTCAGCTCTGAGGGGCAGTGGGTTCTCAACCTTCCTAATGCTTTGATCTTTTAGTACAGTTCCTCATGTGGTGACCTCCAGCCATACAGTTATTTCGTTGCTACTTCATAACTCTAATTTTGCTACTGTTGTGTGTTGTAATGTAAACATCTGATAAGGAAGATATCTGATATGCCATCCCCTGAAGGGGTCACACCCCACAGGTTGAGAAGAGCTGATCTAAGGAGCCCTGCCAGTGGGGGCTGTCACCATCTCCTAAGCAAGGAAGGTCTACTGGGGCAAGGGATTCTGGGGGGAGGTTCCTTTTCTTTCTTATTTTATCATAGAAGGTTACCCCAGACCATTTTCATGCCAAGTATATAATGTACTTTGAGTATATTCCTTCACTTTTGTGACCCTCCCTCCCCCAGTAAGTCTTTTTTGAGGTAGGTTCTCTTGGAACCCAGGCTGGCCTATAAACTTGCTGGTTAGCCAGGGATGACCTGATCTTCCTGCTTCAACCTCCCAAGTGCTAGGATTACTGGCTTTTATCACCAAGTCTAGCCTGATGAAAGGTTCCATACTTTTACTCTAAGATGGGCACACCATGGTTCCTATGGCATGGCCATCTTTAGGTCAGGGCTCTGGCAGCCCAGAGGATAAGGAATCGAGACTTGAGTACACAGCTGAGTGCACCCATCTGTTGAGTATTTCCTGTGTGTTTGATGCTGATGTCCTGCTGCTAGCAGTTCACCTTAATCCTCATAGCAGCCCCTTGGAGTGCTGGTTATTATCCACATTGTCAGGATAAATGATACCAATACATTGAAGTGAAGTGACTTGCCCGAGGCTATGTAGCCCTCAATGCAAGCCTTTCTATTTGACCTTTAACTGTCCACCACATCGCAGCAGCTCCTCTCCCTGCTGTCGTCTGGTGGGCCAGCCAGGATGGCTGGAAACCTTGCGTTAGTGTACCTTCATCCTCCCCAGCACTGAGTGTGTGGCTGCCTATGGCATGCACAGCCTTGGAGTGTGAATCTTCCCACACAGCTTGCCCCAGGAGCTGGACCAACCACTGGCATCTTACAGATCTGACCACCTCAAATGGGAGGAAGATGGTGGGAGTGATGGTATGTGCCTGTAGCCCCAACTACATGGGAGGCTGAGACAGGAGTATTGTCTGAGGCAGGACCTCAGACCTGCCTGGACAACCTGGGAAGGAAGACTACCCTTTCTTATTTCTTTTTTTGTTTTCTTTCTCTTTTTTCTTCCTTTCTTGCTTGCTTGCTTGTTTTCTTGCTTTCTTTTTTTGGTTTTGTTTTGTTTGTTTGTTTTGTTTTTCGAGACAGGGTTTCTCTACATAGCCCTAACTGTCCTGGAACTGACTCTGTAGACCAAACTGGCCTCGAACAAACTCACAGAGATCTGTCTGCCTCTGCCTCTGCCTCCCGAGTGCTGGGACTAAAGGTGTCCCGGCTCCAGCCTCTCTTATTTCTGTTGCTCCCATCTGGCTTCCAGTGAGCACATAGCATATCCCACAGAAGGCCCCAACACTACCTGATTTGTGGTACACCTCTCTCTAAGGCTAGGGTTCTGGGCAGTGGGCAGAGCATGTGGAAAACCAACATACTGGAGAGTCCAGAGGAGACAGTTCCTTTCCCTGGATTCAGGAATAACTGGTAGTCTAGGCACCACTCCAAGATTGTCTTATTTGATCCTTATATCAACGCATTCTTTTTTCAAAAAAGTTTATCTTATTTTATGTGTATGAGTGTTTTGCCTACATATAAAACTGTGCACCATGTGCATGCTTGGTACCCATGGAGATCAGAACAGGGCATCAGATCCCCAAGGACTGGAGTTGTAGATGATTTTGAAATGCCATATGGGTGATGAGAATCAGACCCAGACTCTCTGCAAGAGCAGCTAGTGCTTTTAACCACTTAACCACCTCTCCAGATCTGCATTGTTTGTGCAAAATCTTTAAAATTTTGTGTGTGGTGCGTGTGCGTGTGCGTGTGTGTCTGCCAGAGGAGACTAGAAGTGGGTATCAGATCCCTGGAGATGAATTGAAAGTGGTTGTGAGCTGCCCAGCATGGGTGCTGGGAACCTAAGTCTAGTCCTCTGGGGGAGTAGCAAGCACTCTTGACTGCTGAGCCCTCTCTCCAGCCCAGTAACAATGCAGTCTTACCTCATTTTTCTTTTTTCAAGAGAGCTGAGGCTTTGACAGTTTCCTTCCTGGGTCATTTAACTGGGAAGGAATGGAGTCCAACTCAAAACTAAGCTGGCAGGCATGGTGATGTGCACCTGCAATCCCAGGACTGAGGAGATGGAAGCCCTGGAATTGGGATTTCTCAGCTACACAGCAAGTTCAAGGCCAGCCTGGCTCCATGAGACTCTTGTCTCAGGTGAAGAGTTATGACTGTCACCTTCTCCCTTCCCACTGGTGTTCCGCTGGCATCTTGGAGTAGAGTTGTAAGAACAACATCCCTGAGTATCAGACTCCCCTCTGGGAATAGCAGTGCGAGTGCCATGTTGTGTGGCAGGACAGAGAAGCTTGGAGACAGGGACCAGGAGACACACACCTCATCAGCACCACTAGGGTTTAGGAGGAGGGAGCAACCTCACTTGGCACAGGCCTTCTCCAGGGCTCTGATGCTGATCTTCCTGCCTTTCCCATTCTGCTGTCTTGAACCTGCCAGTTGCATGGTGCCTCAGCTCTTCCCATATGTGCTTCCTTCTGTCCAGAACGCTCCCCCCACCCAAGCCCATTCATCCTTCAGGCCTAAAGCTTCAGTGTTAACACTCTTGGAAAGGCTTTTCCTGGTCCCACAGGAGTTAGCACGCACCACAGCTAATTAAGTAATGTCTGCCGCCTCTGCTGCCCTCTCACAAGGAAGGCTCTGTGTCCATCTTGCTGGCCTCCATCACCCTAGTGCCTGGCACAGGATAGTTGCTCAATAAATGTTTGTCTCGTGAATGGTGGCTGCTGGAGGGAAACTGTGCCCAGGAAGAGTGGAAGGAAGGAAGATAGTGAGAAGGTGAAAGTAAGGTTCTCTACCCCAGAGCCACCCCAAGCCACCAGTCCCCGACTCTGCCTAACCCTTCCTCCTCCCCTGGGCGCCTTTGGAAGCCGACCATCTGGCTTGGAGCCTATTTGCATATTGTCTGGGCCTCAGCAAGCCAAGCAAGATGTCCCCGGGGGTGCGTTTCAGGCCAGGCTGAGTGGCCCTTGCAGCCTGAGAAGGGAGCCATGAGTTCCACCTCTCCCCACCCCCAAATCCAGGCACAGGGACAATACAAGCTGCTGTGATGCAGCAGCCTCACCATGGTAACAAGCTATCAAAAATGTAGGCGGGCCTGGAGTGGGGGGCAGACAGAAGAAGGAGGGAGTGACCTCCGCGAATAGGAGCATCATGATAAATGAGCCAGTACTGGGCAGCAGACTCATCTCCCAGCCACCCCTCTGGGAGTCCATGGCAGTGTCATCACGTGGATGACCCCAACATGACCACTATCCCTCCTCTATTCCCAAGCTATCTAGAGTGGAGCAGAAGCACCCCATGGAAGGAGCCAGGACTGTCGATAAAGCCTGTGGTCACTGACTGGGCCCACCTCTTCCCAGTCCTTCCGTGTCCAGACACAGGCCCAGCCCTGGCTGCTGAGGCTGGCTGATGCCTAGCTGATGGATGTGTCAGACTCCAGTAGTTCTATCGAACAGCCACAAGATGTATGGGCTGGCAGCCTACCAGACAGTGCCAAAATGGAGGCCAATGGGATTCAGGACCGGGGGGAAGAAGCCTCTGCAACCTGGGCCTTGGGGAAGAGTCCACCAGGAGCCCAAGTGCAACTTGAGGGAGGCAGCACCCTTCCTCCTTGCCTTGGGGACTTAAAAAGGAATTTTAGCCAGGCTGTGGTGGTGCACGCCTTTAATCTCAGGACTTGGGAGGCTGAAGCAGGCAGATTTCTGTGAATTCAAGGCCAACCTGGCCTACAGGGCAGATTCCAGGACAGTCAGGGCTACACAGAGAAACCCTGTCTTGGAGGGGGAAAAAAAAAAAAGGAATTTTTCATTGGGAGATGGCAGTTTTAGTCCATGAACACTACTTGTTGTGGGTGTGTGTGTCCAGCAAATAGGGACTGGTTTATTCACACTGCACCTTCCCACCCCCTGGCCCTACCCAAGGCTGGATTGCATGTGCATTGCAACATAAAGCTCACACTGGGAGCAGAGTGAAACTTCCCTGTGTCCTAGCAGTCCTTTATTCTAGGACTTTGGGATAATCTAGGCAAGACAGCTCAGGCCACGCTCTCACCTTGCCTCAGAACTCTGGCTCAGGTGCCCTGAAAGGCAGCAGGCCCTCTAAGACACTGAATCAGGACACGCCCCTATGGCTTCCTGAATGCTAGTTGTTTCTCTAGGACCTTTGTTCTCAAGTCCCCTGTGAGAGCAGGACCTCCAGGAGCCTCAGAAACAATCCAAGTGAAGAGTGGTTGAGGTCCCAGGCACCACGGCCCTTATAGATGCAGACCAATCCAGTTTGCTATGGGCTGGTCCCCTGCTCCTAGGAAAGGCTGGTAACCCTGGAGATCACTGCCTCCACATGCTATACAAAGAGACTGGTGGCCATCCCAGAGCCCATCCCAGGAGAGAGCTCTGGATGTTCAGCAGAGCAGGAGAGGTCCTTGCAGCCCAGAACCTCTTGCCTTGGCAAGGTGGCCACCCCCCGGGGGCTGCAAAAGTGGGGGTAGTGAGCAGTGATTTGTCAGTGTCTGCCTGGTGAGGAGCCTTCTCTCCCTCTGCTAGAGGAAATTAACTGATGTTATCGGCTCAGTGATTGTTTTTCTCCCCTCACAAAGGGAAATATATGCAGACCCTGCCTGTGAGCAAAGCTGAGGCCTCCCCAGCTGGACCGGCAAAGATAGATAAAGGTGGTCGTGGTCTTCGATGCTCTCTAAGCGGCCTTGTTGAGGGAGCATCAATGTGTGCATATGTGTAAGCATATACATGTAAGTGCATGCAGAGTGTAGAAGAGGGTAGTGTATCCCTGGGAACTGGAGGCGTAGGTGGCCATGAGCCGCCCAGTGTGAGCGCCAGGGAACTGAACTTGGGTCCTCTGAAGAACGGACCCCCCCTTCACCAGTAAGCCATCTCTCCGGCCCCTGTCCCTGCCTTCTGTAGTGAGCCCCCCCCCCCATGCCTCCGGCTGTGCCGTGGCCCCTTCTCTGAAGACTCGTCTAACAGTCATGGCCTCTCCTATTCAGGTTTCTGGGCCCCGTGAGCCCCATGGTCACTTTCTTCTGTGCCAGGCAAAGCTTGGGGCCTGGGGATGAGTCGGGTTTGACCTTGGTTTGTTCTGTGCCTCCCTCTCTAGGGGACATCCGGAACCTCCTTGTCTGGATCAAGAAGAACTTGCTAAAAGAGCGGCCAGAGCTCTTCATCCAGGGAGAGAGTGTGTGAGTTCCCGCCCCCGTTCCCTGAGCAAGGCAGAGAGGGAGGTTGTCGAAGCCTGCGTCCTGGGGTTCTGACCAGCTGGTCCTCGGGTCCTCTGGCCCTGTTTTCTCAAGCTCCTCTGAGGAAAGGGCTGTTTCTAGTTTGCTTGTCTACACTAGGCTGTTTGAGGTTCTTAAAAGCCCGGATGAAAGGGGCCTGGTCATGCATCTGGTTACTACCTGGTTACTTGGCTCCTCCTGACCTCAGTTATCCTCTGTACAGAAAATATCAAGAAAGCCACACTGCTCCAGGTCTCCCTCATCCTGATTGATCTAGGACAGTTGTCCCATAGGCCTTTCCTCAATGACAGAAGCATTCTTTACCAGTGCTGCCTGGTGGTAGCGGCTGCCACTGTGGCTGGGTGAACCCTCAAAGTTGGCCAGTGTGACTGAGAAACTAAATATTCCATTTTAGCTGGGTGTGGTGCACACCTTTAACCCCAGCTCTTGGTAGTCAGAGGCAGGTGGATCTCTGTAAGTTTTAGCCAGTCTGGTCTACTTAGAGGGTTCTAGAACAGCCAGGGCTACATAGTAAGACCCTGTCTCAAAACCAAAACAGAACAAAAGGCTAAGGTGGGAGAATTGCCACACGTTTGAGGACAGCCTAAGCTACGTAGCAAGAATCTGGCTTCCAAATCAAACACAGGCTGGAGAGGTGGGTCAGAGGTTGAAAGCAAGGACTGGTCTCCCAGAGAACTGAGTTTGATTCCCAGCACCCACACCGGGTAGCTCACAACCACCTGTCACTGTACCTCCAGCTCTGACTTGTTCAGTCTCTGCTGCACCTGCACTCACCTATACACACATACACAGAATTAAAAATTAAATAAATAACACTCAAAATATTCCATTTTCTTTGTTTGTCCTTGAAGTGGCTATGTGTGGTCAGTAGGTATCACAATGTGAGCTATCACAGAGACGAGGTTCCAGGTTACCGCATGCACGTACCCTCTCAGACACACATAGTTCCCCACCTGTTCCAACCTACTAGCAAAAGCCCAGGTTCCTCCTGCCAAGTCATTCCAGTTCTAAACAAAGATGGTCTCCTGTGTAAAGGAGGTGGGCCATGAAATTGGGAGACTCTTGCGTCTGCCTTCAAGAATGGGTCACCCTGTGGGCTGGGACTGCTCTCCACTCTACAGTTCTGGCACAGCAGTCCTGGAAGCCACCTGCAAAGACATCAGTGCTCCCTTGACCATGGCCAGTAGGAATCAGGACTGGTTCTCAAACATTTAGGTGCCTGGTGCCGCTGGCAGCCTTCTTTGGCCCAGAAGAGCTGAGCTTGCCTCCTCCAGAATAGGCATCTTGGAGGCCTAGAAGCCAAAGCCCTTCCTTTCCCGAGCCCAGGAGAGTAAGATTAGACACTGGGAAAAGTAGGTTCCTCCTGCTGGTTACTGAAACATAGTGGCAAGCAAGCCCTGCACACCATTTTGTTATATCCCTCAATAGTCCTTGTGGGGCAGATCTTTTTTTTTTTTTTTTTTTTTTTTTGGTTTTTCGAGACAGGGTTTCTCTGTGTAGCTTTGCGCCTTTCCTGGAGCTCACTTGGTAGCCCAGGCTGGCCTCGAACTCACAGCGATCCGCCTGGCTCTGCCTCCCGAGTGCTGGGATTAAAGGCGTGCGCCACCACCGCCCGGCTGTGGGGCAGATCTTATAATTGGCTCTGTTTTCACATAAAGAAAGCTGATGTCCAGAAAAGTAAAATGCCTTGCCTGAAGTTTGGGTGGTAGATGATGCTGACCGTTTTCTTTGAGATGCCCTCAAGACCTTGACTGTCTGCCCCGGTTTCCTGACCATGCAGACTGTGGCCTCTGCTTGTTGGGAAGTTGGGAGGAAAGCCCCCCCCCTACTCCTGCAGCCCACAGGCTCTGAACCTCCTCACTACCTCTTTCCCACAGGCGGCCAGGAATTCTGGTGCTGATTAATGATGCCGACTGGGAACTGCTGGTCAGTACCTCCAGTGATACTCTTCCCCAGCCCCTGCCTTCAGTGGGAAATGCTGCTTCAGTGGGGAAACCCTGGGCCTCTGATCAGTCCAGGTCGGGGCTGGGAAATCTGTCTCATTCAACCCCCCCCCCCACCATGGGGCTATTCCTGTCTTCCATCTCAAATAAGGAGGGATTGAGTGGCTGCTGGAGAGGGAGGCAGGGAGCTCACCCATCCTGGAGATTTGAAAGTTGGATGTGTAAGATCTCCATTTTTCTGGTAAGGTTTTTCATTCATTCCCAGAACAGCCACCTTTACGTTTTTCTCTTCCCTGTCCCAACATCTGGCAATGACCTAGACCATGTTCTGATGGTCCTTGTCCCTCTTTCCTGCCCCAGGGGGAGCTGGACTACCAGCTGCAAGACCAGGACAGCATCCTCTTCATCTCCACACTGCACGGCGGCTGAGGGCTCCCTCTGTGAGCCCAAGCACCTTTGCAAGGGGAGCCCAGGACAACCACACCTCTCCTTGGGCCCTGCTTCCAGTCCTCAGTTCCCCTTGGCTGCCTCCCCCTCTGCAGTACCCCTGAGCTCCCTCTAGGCAGGGAAAAGAGGCCAGGTGCTAAAAATGAGCCTGTTTGGGCAAGGCACGTGAGCAGGGAGGGAGAGCAGACGCCCGAGCCCAGCACTCCTTCCAGCAGCTGAGGGGGGGAGGGCACCCGTGTGACATGTCAGGAGTGGAGGGGCTCTATGCCCAGGTGACCAGCTGCTTGCCCCCCTTCTGTCTTGGTATACGTAAGCACTGAGTGACGGCCTGGAAGGCACTCCAGTTCCTGAGACATCTTCATGGGGAAGATGGATGAACTTGAGTAACTGATGAGAAGCCCCTCTCTTGCCAAAGATTAGAGGGGCCTCCGCCTCAGTTTCCCCATCTGGACACTGAGGACTCTGCTTGTCCCCCACTGATGTCATTATGGAACCCCAGCTGGGGTCCCCTATTCAGTGCTCACCTCCCTCCCCTCCACCCAGCAGCTGCTCTCCTAGCCACACCCCTCCTCCTGTTCCCCCCATCCCCAGCCCTTGACCCTGGCTGGCCTCCCCCCTACATAGGCCACCAGATGGGCTCCTGAGACACTCCCCAGGCTGCCTACAGCTCCTTCTGCTGAGGGCAGAGAATGGGAGGAAGTAGCCTAACCTTAGACAGAGGGGTGGGGCCTCAGTGTGTAACTCCCAGCATCCTGAAACCAGCGGGGTTTGGGTGTGCAGCACCTGGTAGGCAGAGAGGGCTGTGCCCCCCTTTCCTCCATCCTTCTGGGAATCTGAGGACCTTGTGCCTGCAGCTGGCCTTGGGCAAATAAAAAGACTAGGTTGTTGACTAGCCTTGCTTGAAGCTTCATCCTTAGAAACTGGTGGTACCCTGTATTCCTCAGATCTATGTACGGGCTCTGTTCTGAGCCAAGGGCTCAGATGGCCTTCACCTGAAAGGCTAACACATGATCTGTTCCAAAGAGAGGGTGGTTCCGCAGGCCGTCTGGAGAAGGGAGTGTAGACCCATAATGATCAGTGCCGACCCTCAGCCGTTCTCAACAGCCTATCTAGGCTTTGTTCTACCCGCTGCACGAGAGGGGTGGCCTAAGAAGACCGCTGAGCCCCATGACTTCCATGACCTGCAGAAAAAAGCTTCGTCCGACCCAAAGTGTTGCTTTTCCTTAAACGTCAGTAAGGCAGGATTCGGTACCCCACATAGATGAGAGCGCCTGATGTGGGCCGATTGGGAGTGGAGAACACACGGCCCTGGTTGGAGAGCTGACCTCTGGGCTTGTGTGGGTGGGGGAGCTAGGTTAGGATTATTGGTAAGGACTGGCTGGGTGCAGACTAAGGCCAGTGTTGGGGCCAAGCACTGTTAAGACTGTGCTGATGTCAGGCCGTGTCTTGGCTCTCACAGCTTGTCGTTTTTTCGAGGGTCAGCCTGCCCTGGTTTCTGTAACACTCCCTCCCTGCAGTAGTACCCTCTGAGCTTCAGCTGCTGGGGATAAGTTGTAGGACGCCTTCTGCAGCTGCTGGGGCACCCCAGTTAATGTTGAGCATTCAGGAGGATGGGCTGAGGAAACGAGCTTTCCCCATCCGGGGTGCCAGTGCCATCGCGCAAATTGGCCGGAGCCCATTCATCCTAGTCCACTCGGGTCATTTTAGTTTCTGGCAGAAAGGGGTCAGAGACAGGTGACTCAGCCCATCAGCGCCCCACAGCCCCCCTCCCGTGCAACTCATGGCCCTTGCTTTTGAGGAAATAAACAAGTCCCACTACCTCTGAAGATTTTTCTTTAATGAGGATTCGTTTGTCCAAGTTCTTATTTCCAAAACCGAAGCGGTTGCCCGGCTAGCGCGCATCATTCCCCAGCTTCTCGGTTTCTGGCGGCGGTGGGAGGCTCAGCCCATCAGTCGGTCCAGAGGAGCTTGTGGGAGGGGTTGGTTGACTGATTTGGGATATACGGGTTGGTTTCGGGTTTTTTGTTGCTGTTGTTTGGGAGTACTGGTTAGGGGACAGGTTAGAACAAATTCAAAACGAGTTAGCGAACGAATTCTGCTGGCATCTGCCTTCACCCCGACTAACTGCGGCTCTGGCCAAGGACCGGCTGCACGAACCACATTCGGGTCCCGCCGCTGTGTGCCAGATTCGTTACGGCTGAAATTTGAAAACGGGAAAACCAGTGCGATCAACTGGAGACCCTGCCAGCGGACACAGGTCACCCGCAGAGGAGGAGACGAAGGAAGGAGGTGAGGATGAGGATGGCGGCTCTGGTCGCAAGGACTAGTGTCCCTTCTTTGCGCCAGTCTGGGGCCACTATGCTTTTGCTGGGACCTGCCAGCCGCCGCCCCAGGGTCTCCCAGCGTGGACCTCCTCTCTGCGGACCCGTTTCTGTTGAGCTCGGAGCTCAACCACAGATGTCCAGCCACAATTCTCGGTTGGCCGCAGACTCGTACAAGAATTGCGTTTGGACAATCAGTGGCGAAGCCCCTGAGTTCAGGGCCCCGGTCTCCTGCGGGGTTCTGCCTGGCTCCTTAAAAGCGCACACCAGATCTCGGGAGCTGCGCGTCGGAATACCTCGCAGAAGCTCATCAATCGCAGCCCATCCCGCGGTAAGGTGGACGAGCGGCATGCAGATCCTGGCCCTGCACGGGCATCCCCATTGCCCCCAGCGTGTTTCCTTCCATCGTGGCCAAGGGTCCCTAGAGTAACCCGCGTTGTGTCTCTGGGCCACCCCAGCTTGGAGGAATATCCTGTCAGGCCCAGGGGAACCCTGGCTCCTCTCTCCCCGCCCCCAGACTGGGCTCTCCGGGAATCCAGAAAACTGGGGCCCGAGGCCGGTGGCGTCTCTGAGCCCGGGGTCTAGGGTGCTGGACTCATGGGGCCCCCTCCCCCGCCCGGCCCCGCGCACGCACCGGCTCGGGCGCTCTCTGCTTCCTTGTGGCTGAGTCGCGGGTGGCGGTAGCCCGGGCGGCGGGGAGCACCGGAATGCGCCGCCGGGTCACCTGCAGCTCCCAGGGAGCCTGACCGGGAGCCGGCGTGCTGGCGAGGCGCAGGGCTGAACCCGAGCGGGCGCCTCTGGCGGCTCGGGGCCGGGGCGGGCTTTTAGTGGGCCGCTCCAACAATACGGGCCTGGCGCGGAGAAAGGGGCTCGGCTGCAATTGGTACTGGATTTGAATAACGCCACGGGGCCATCAATGGTCATTGTGTCGACGGGTAATGAATCTCCGCTGTCTTTCGGTCTGGCCAGGCAGCTGCAACCTGCGCTCAGGCAGCTCTTAAAGACATAGCATGCCCCTCCCTGGGGGCCGCCCCCCCCTGCACCGGCCGGACCCTGCGCCCTCCCACCCCCACTCAGCACCCTCCACTCCCGATGCCCCGCCTGCTCTCTCAGCCTGACCCTTTTGCCGGTGCCCCCCTCCCTCCAGGGCCAGGCACCCACATCTCGGTCCTGGACTCTGGACATGAATCGGGCCTCTCTGAGCTTGGCTGAACTCCCCCAAGAGTGCCCAGAGGACCCCAGAATCTTTTAAGGCCCAAGCTGCCTCCCAGCTACATCTTTATCTGTGGTTTCTGGAGTCCTCGCTCCTTAAAGCTCCTTGCCAGGAGTTTCTCTGGAATGTGAAGGGGTAACAGTCTGGAGGTCAGAGGGTTACCATCCCCCCTTCCCCGTAGACCGCTCATCTGAAAAATAAGGGGGAAGCGTGTAGTCCCAACCAACAGATTGAGGATTCAGTCTCCAGAGACCACACCCCCAAGAGGGATCTGGAGGCTGCCCCTTCCCCTCCCCAAGGACAAGGGCTTGATTCCCAGGCTCCTGGACACCTAGCGTGGTGAAGGAAGCAGGTGGGTGTGAAACGGCAGGCAATCTGCTAATGCTTGTCTCCTGTGTCTTTCTTCGGATGGCCAACCCATCCAGAGGTACAGGAGCTCTATTGGAAGGTCTAATGTGTACCCTGTGCGGATCTGATTCAGGAAAGTTCCAATCTGCTGGCTACATACCACACAGATTCTCATCCCTAGAGCTCAGCCTCACCAGCTTCCCCAGTGAGTGTCACACCTCAGAAGGGAGTGAGTGGCTGGCATCTTCATGCATCCTGCCTTCTATCCTCCCCAGGGTTCTTCCAGCACCCTACCTCCTCTATGGCACACTGCACTTTTACCCTGAAATGTTCTCTTGTCCTCACCCTGTGGGCAGCCCTGCCATGTGCCCAGCTGCACTGTGATGGTACATTTGTCTGATTCTCCTCACTAGCTCAGGAAGTGGGTCCAGTGGCTCTTTGTGGCTCTGGAACTTACATCCTACTACTGTACCTTCCCCCAACCACACATTAAATGTGTATAGAAGTTTGCATGTCCTGCGACTTAAAAACCAACTACACAGACTTTCAGAGTTTTCTTAACAAAAGTTAACTATAACTTCTGGCTTTATGAGAGATGGAGCCCTGTTAGCTAAATCTCAACTCTGGGAATGTTCCCCTTGGTCCTGACAGTAAGTGTACCATGTGCCAGGCACTAAGTGCCTGTAGTCTTGGCTACTCAGGGCAACCGAGGCAGGAGGATCATGTGAATCCAAGAGTTCCAGACCAACCTGAGTAATAGAGCAAAACTCCACCTCAGATAATGAGTGAGTGATTAAGAAGGGCAGCATCTTGCTGGATTCTGGCAACAACCTGGGAAATAGATATATATCAGTAGATATATAAATATATATCAAGTAAATATATATTTCTTTACTGATAAAGAAACAGACCTGTGACTAGGAGCCAGCTGGAAGGTGATGGAAGCAGGGTTGGAACCTAAGATTGTCCAACCTATTGCAAACTATTTCCTAGTCTTTCCTTACTTAGCAGATGCAGAGGAAGTGGCATAAGTGTGCTCAAAGCAGTGGCTTCCAGGAGACACTGCTTAAATGATAATCCACTGCGGTCTGGTGTGAACACAGCCTGGCTGGCTTGGGCATGGAACTGCAGGAATGGAGAGCAGAAAAGGGTCTTTTCCTCCTGCCACCTTCGCTCCACATCAGCACGCCTGGTTTGGTTCGTTTGTAGTACTGGGGGTCTAACCAAGAGCCTCGAGCAAGCGCTCATGCTCAGCCCTGAGGCTCCCTTACCATTACCCTCTGGGAATGAGGAGCCAGAGCAAATCCTGCCTCTGGCCATTGCACATTATGGAATGCCTACCCTGTGGTAGTCAGGACGGCAAAGGACAGGCATTCCCAAAGGAGGTAACCCAGTGTACAGCTGAGGCAGATCAGAGAGAATGAAGTCCAGAGAAAGTAAGTTGAGGGTGGGGCGGGTAAAGAGGGACACTTTGGGGGCAGAAGTTCCATCAGCTTCAAAGCCATTGAGCAGGAAGGATCATGACAAGTTCTGGGTAGGGTCAGGATTCCCAGTGTCTGCAGCTCAGAGTTTCAGATGAATCAGAGGCCCACCCTGCTAAGCCTGGGAGAACATTGGGAGGATCTGTGATTTTTACCCTAAACACCAGGGGATCCTGAAAGGCCTCAACAGACAAGTGCACTTTTACATGTTTAGATTTGCTGAGGATGAAGTGGGGAGGAAGAAGGAGAAGTTGAGTGATCTGATCCAGACGAGTTAAGCTACTGCTGATTTGCTGGTGAAAGCTGGCAGTCGCAGAGCAGGGTCCACCTAAGTTGACACCATTAGTGAGCACCTAGTGTGTTCATTCTCAGCTAAGGGAGGGAAAGATGACAGGTGTTGCTCTCTAACCTACCCAGTGAAAGGAGAAGAGCCAGGAGGAAGCACCCTCTAATTGAAGTATTGGCAGATTGCTCTGGGGTTATAGAAGGCAGGGATTCATTCCAACAGGAAGATAAGAGAAAACTTCTG